ACGCCCCCTAGCTGCCGCTCCGCCGAAACGCCACTCGGCCTGCAAACAGACCGCTCCTTGCGCAGAAAGCGTGGGGCAGCCTGGGGAAAACCCTCTACCTCTCCCAGCTCTAGCAGCTCCCTGTAAGGAACACAGATTGCAGGGCAGATGCTCGGCCCAGCAAGTAAGATATCACGCCAGGGTGCCTCGGTTCGGGTCCCGGTTCTGGCTCCCAACTCCAGCTGCTGTGTATGTGCGCGCTGCAAAGCAACAGGTCATGTCGGATTAACCAAGTTCCTGCTACCCACACGGGGGACCTGGACTTTAACCCAGCCGGAGACGGGAGCCGGCAGGTGGGAGAAGTCTCTCTGTCTGTCATTCAAATAAAAACACGGACAACACAGATCCCCTTGGAGCTGACGCCATGCCGCACTAGGCTATAACCTCCGCCTCTGGTGCCAACATTTCATACGGGTGCTGGTTCGAATCCCAGCTGTTCCACTTCCGATCTAGCTCTCTGCTTTTGACCCAGGAAGGCAACAGAGGATGGTCCAATCACTGGGCTGCTTTTGACCCAGGTGGGAGATCTGGAAGAGGCTCCTGGCTCCTGGCTTCGGCTCACTTACAATGGACACACCCCCTCCTTGCCAGTAGTGGCAGAAAGGGGCCAGCTGCCGCTCTCCTGCTGTGGCACCCACAGCCAGGGCACCACCTCTCACTCAGAGTCCGGCATGCCCCTGCACCCCAGCTCTGCTTGGCCGCCCATCTTGCCACCAGTTAACACTGTCTGCCGTTTATCTGTTTCGGCACAGGTGCAAGAGGTGGTCCAAGAACTCCTACCTCTTTCAGCAACGACCTTGCCTGCTGCCTTGTTCTTTCTTGCTCGGTACCCAGAAAGGCCCCAGTCGAGAAACGGGTTCAGGCAGGGCCTGGAGCTGCAGCTGGTCAATGCAGGGGCCACCCGAGAGGCAGCAGGACCGTGAACTCCCAGCTCTCGGTGTAGCACAATACCTGGGCGCCCCTGAATCTCCCGGTCCCTCCTCCCAGTCCAACACACCCTCCCTCGGCCTGCCTGTTGTAACGGTACGACCGACTCAGCACGATGAGGCTCCACTGCCCTTAACATGGGGCCTTGGAGTGGCTGAAAATATCACAGAATTTGCCAGTCTCTTGGGAGGCCAGAAGTACATATTCATGGCCCAGAGTGAAGTCCTGGCCAGAGCCCAGGACAGGAGGCCAGGTCCAAGGGCAGTAGAGGGGACCTCCTCAGAGCTGCAGTGACTTCCGGAAGCCTCAGGCTCCCAAGGCCCCAGCAGAGCAACCGAAAGGAAGTTTCCCTAGTGCGAGCTCAGGGGAAGTGGGACGGTTTGCGGCTGTCGCAGCGTTGTGGCTGAGGCCACTGCTGGAGACGCCGACATCCCAGGTTGGGAGACAGGCAGACAGCTCCTCCAATTTCTGTTCGGCTTCTTGTGGAAGCAGTGGAAGATGGGCCAAGGACTTGGACCCCCTGCCACCCACGTGGGAGACCCAAGTGGAATTCCTGGCTCCTGGCTTTGACCAAACCCAAACCTGACTGATGGGAGATCTCTCTTTCTCTCTCTCTCTCTCTCTCTCTCTCTCTTCCCCACCTCTCTGCCTTTAAGCACTTGGACAAATGGGCCATGTGAGGCAGCACTCAGGTACTTCTCACTACATGTGAGCTTGCTCCAGGACCCCGCAGCTCCTGGCCCCCCAGTTCAGCATCCCACCAGCTCGCTCATGCAGACCACCTGCACCAGCCACCTCAACTCCCCTACTGGCCCCCGGTAACCCTAGCAATGGACATAACCCTAACCAGATGTCTCATTAAGGAGGGGACGCCCCAGGTGCATCCCCTGACCCTCGGAAGGCCACGGGCACCTCTTAACTTCTGGTGAGCAGAGCCTTGGCCACCCAGACCTTCACGGAGCACGCAGGAAAAGCGCAGGAGGAGGCCCCAGTTATTGAGCTGTTTTCCCTTTACGCAGAGGGGACACCATAAGTCATGTGTGTAAAGCAGCTGTCACCCCCAAAGCACATGGAAAACAGCAGCAACTGTCATTATTGCCACTTTGTCCGTAACATTCAAGCGTGCAAACCATTTGGCTGCCTGAAGCAACTTACCACCGAGAAACACACTGGCCCTGGAGCCACCAGAGGCCCAGCACATGGCCACCTCCTCAGCACGCCAAACAGAACGAGGCAGGCCCTCACGCTGTCCTTCCTTACTGCAGATTTGATCCTTCCCACCCAGATAGATACAGACAAATGGAGGGAGGAAAATTCTGGAACGCAGGTGGGTCAAGCACCAACCTCCGCCGCTCAAGTTTGGACAAAACGTCAAGTTCCAGACATTGGCCAGAACTGAGAAGACAGCGACACTGTGTGGCCATGTGGAGAACTACAGACTAGCCCTGGTGCTAGTCTGGTTGGAAGACAATGTCCCTTGGTCTCCATTCTCTAAAAATGATTGTGTGGCCTAGCGGCTAAAATTCACGCCTTGAACGCGCCGGGATCCCATATGGACACCGGTTTTAATCCCGGCAGCTCCACTTCTCATCCAGCTCCCTGCTTGTGGATGGAAGCTCACTGTATCTTTTTCTCTGCCTCTAAAATTAAAAAAAAAAAAGCACAGGAAGGCTGCCCTAAGGACATTTTCAGATGCTTACTGAACAACCCTGCAGGGTCGCCGAGGGTGACAGGAACATCCTGCCCTTGCGGAAATTACTTTTTGACGTCCTTAGACCTAGAAGGGTGGACAGCGTAAGGAGGAAGCAGTTGGGCTTGGCATCATGGCTCAATGGCTAAAATCCTCACCTTGAAAGCACTGGGAATTCCGTATGGGCACTAGTTTATGTCCAGGTTGCTTCACTTCCCTTCCTGCGTGCAGCCTGCGAAAGCAGCAGAGGATGGCCCAAAGCCTTAGGACCCTGCACCTGCCAGGCAAAGCCAGAATGCACCAGGATCCCATGTGGGCACTGGTTCATATCCCAGCAGCTCCACTTCCCATCCTGCTCCCTGCTTGTGGCCTGGGAAAGCAATTGAAAATGGCCCAATGCTTTGGGCCCCTACACCCACGTGGGAGACCTGGAAGAAGCTCCTGGCTCCTGGCTTCAGATCGGCTCAGCTCTGGCCATTGCGGCTGCTTGGGGAGTGAAACAGCAGATGGAAGATCTTTCTCTCTGTATCTCCTCCTCTCTGTACATCTGCCTTTCCAGTAAAAAAATAAATAAATAAAATAAAATAAATCTTAAAAAAAAAATAAAGAGAGCTTGGTTGGAGTCCTGGATACTCTTCTGACCCGGCTCCCTGCTAATGCGCCTCCGAAGACAGAAGATGGTCCCAGGGTTCTGCACTTTCACTCAAAGCGCTCAAAGTTCTGGAAACTGCCCGAGGTGTGCAGGCTCACTGGGAAACCCAGGAGCCACACTCCCTTCCTGTTCAAACGTTCTGTGGCACGTGCATTCCCTGATCCAGTCCCAAAGGCACCGCTGGTGACCTCACAGACAGTGCTGGGTCCCCAGGGCTGCAGGAGTGGCAGTGACTACAGCTCCAGCCGTCAGGGAGGCAGTGCTCGCTCACGGGAGTGGCACATCCAATCTGGGGACGGACACCTGTGGGGATGCGGCTGAGCACCCGGAATCCATTGAGCCATGGGCGAGTCGTTTCGGCTCTCCACCCCCAAACGCTTTGGGCACCTGAAACGGAGCATCCTCCCGGATCCCTGGAACGGCAGGACGGGCAAGCGCAAGGTTCCCAAACCCTTGTGATCCTGGCTCATCTGTGTGGCTGCTTAGCTTTGCTTACGTTGTCTGTATGGCTGCTGGTGGCCCCGGAGACGTGATGGTGGCCTTGCGTAGACACATGACTTCAACGCTTTTCTTTTCACATTCGGCTCGCGCGTGTTGACCTGTCTGAGGCTCTCTGTCCTTGACTCAGATGGTCCTTCCTGAGGAACTCATGTTCAGATGCACGGCCATGGATGACTGTCAGGCAGTCTCCGTGAGCCATTCTGCAATGGTCTAAACCCGCGATGGTTCTGTAACTCCGCCCTCATCCCCCCACACGCACTGTTGTCTCTGTGCGGTGATGGGCTCGCCGGCAGGCTGGCCTCTCCCTGACCCCTTCTTCCCCTCTGTTCACGGCGACATGGAGAAGACCGCAGTACACACAATGGCCGGAGCTGAGCCAATTCCAAGGCAGAAGCCAGGAGCTTCCTCTGGGTCTCCCACATGGGTGCAGGGTCCTAAGGCATTGAGTCATCCTCTATTGCTTTCCCAGGCCACAAGCAGAGAGCTGGATGGGAAATGGAGCAGCCAGGACTCAAACCGTCACCCACATGGGGGCACATGCAAGGTGAGGATTTAGCCACTAGGCTACTGCACTGGGCCCAACAAAATTTAATGCTACATAGGAGACTCATGAAAGATATTTGGGTGTGCAAATGAGGAAAGGGAGAACAATTTCAGTGAAGGGGATTTAATGTCAGAATCTGTACATTGGGGTCAAAGGCTTCTGAAGAGAACAGGCCAGGCCGCCTGACCTGCTGCCACAGCCTATCATTGGGAAGGAAGCAACAGCAGCCAAGCTTCCAGCTCTGCGGCAGGGTCGGCCGCTGCAATGGGGTATCTGCAGCTGGACACGCTCAGTCCCTGCCCTCCCTGCGTGCCAAGTCAGGGCACCCCCTTTCCTCGTGGCGGGAGGAACTGTTCTCACTGGAAAAGACAGGGTGGTCCCTTTGTGGTCACCGGGTCAAAGATGGCATCAAACTATTCCAACCACCATGGTTTCTGCAGGTACGCACACGAGTCAAAGCCAAAGGTTAGTCCAGGGGGCCCCTCCTGAACCCAGGAATCCTCTGGCAAGACCCCGGGCCGCTTGCCCACCCACCCACCCACCCAGACGCTCGATTCCAGACCCAAGCATCTCCTCCACTTCCTGTGTGTTCCCCACTCAAGGCCACAGGCAACACGGCAGCCCTCCCTTCCTACGCCCCGGGGAGCAGACAGCAGGCCGAGTCCAATCCCCAACAGGCCCCCAACGTCTCTTAAATAAGCTTTTTCCTTTCTGTCTTCTTCTTTTAATTATTTCTCATCCATCCCTTTATTTATACAAATATAAAATATATTTATATAGATTTATATAATATAGACTTTTGAGAGGCAGTGTGGAAGGAAGAGGACCGGAGGGACGGAGCCCGCCTCCCTTGGCTATTTGCAGACGTACTGGTCGACGACCTCCGTGCACTTCTTGCACTTGACAAAGCAGCACCAGTGGAACTTGCAGTGGCAGCGTTCCACCTGCACGCTCTTGAACTGGTCATAGCCGCGGCCGCAGCACATGAGCTCACAGCCGTCCATGCCCTCCGAGGTCTTGTTGCAGACGCGGCCCTGGGTGCCCAGGGAGCCGGTGGTCTCGTTGCGTAGGCAGTAGTCAGGGCTGGGGTCCACGTAGACCAGGTCCTCGGGCGTGGGCTGGTTGAAGCGGCTGTTGACCAGCTCCAGCTTGCCCTTGCGGTTGATGCGCATGGCGGCCGCACTGTCGTACTTTTCCTTCAGCTGGTCCCCCACCTTGCGGAACTCGGCCAGCTGCAGCCAGCACGTCTTGAGGCTGCAGGAGCCAGAGACACCGTGGCATTTGCAGGATACGTCTGCCATCTTGTACACAGCCTGGGGGGGAGGAGAGGCAGAGAGGAGGCAAGTAAGAGGAGTCCCCGAGGGAAGAAGAAGGGAGGGGAGGCGTGGAACTGTGGGTGAACCCGCTGCTGGCGACGGTCACACCCCACAGAGAGTGCCTGGCTCCAATAATCCTGACTGCTCACTGCTCCCTACCAGCCCTGGCGCGGCAGTACTTGGCTCTAGTGCTTAGCTCCCTGCCACCACGAGAGAGCTCTCTCCCTCTCAAATCACTCTGCCTTCGAAACAAATAAATAAAGAAATAAAATAAAAAGAGGCTGGTGAGGGTAGCCCCGGCCCACAGCATTAAGTGAGGAGGGGGAAGCTGCTGCTCATATGCATTCAAAGATCCACTGGGACAGGGCCCGGCCCCGTGGCCTAGTGTCTAGATCCTCACCTTGAAAACTCATATGGTCGCCGGTTCTAATCCCGGCAGCCCCGCTTCTCTTCCAGATCCCTGCCTGTGGCCTTGGAAAGCAGACGAGGACGGCCCAAAGCCTTGGGACCCTGCACCTGTGTGGGATGCCCGGAAGAAGTTCCTGGCTCCTGGCTTCGGACCGGCATAGCATCGGCCGTTGTGCTCACTTGCGAAGTGAATCATCGGACGGAAGATCTTCCTCTCTGTCTCTCTTCCTCTCTGTATATCTGACTTTCCAATAAATAAATAAATAAATCTTTAAAAAAAATAAAAAAACCAGTGCAGTCAGTCTGTACTGGTCAGTCACGGGGCTTCTTTGGACAGACGGAAGGTTCCTTTCCTGAGGACCAGCCCTCAGCATGCAGGCTCCACCTCCAAGGCACAAAGGAACGGCTCGTCCAGCCCAAGAAGTGCTTCAAAGACAAGGCCTGCCATGACCCCGAGCCCAGGCCCCCGGCTGTGAACACGGCTGGATCTGCCTCTGCAAGTGGTCCTTGAGTGAGAGAGGGAGGCTGGGTGTCAGGCCCCCTGCTGGAACATGGAGACACTAAAGCCATGCACCCTGCCCCAAAGCCACCAAGGGGAATGCAAGGGACCATTCAGAAGGGATTTGGAGGGCAGGAGGGTCAGACTCCACTGGGGGAAGAAGGGTGGGATGGAAACGAGAATTTCATGCAAGCAAATCCCAGGGTGACAATGTCGTGTCCCTTGGCATTCAGACCTGTCAAAGACATGGGGCAGACAGTAACATCTGGACTTCTCTCCCAGTCGACTGTGGGTTTGCACATGCCCTCTGGGTGGGTAGAAGAGTAAGGAGGAAATCTCAGCTTTCCGGTTCCTAGTCCTTCCAGCTGAATAAAATAAATAAATAAATAAAAATAAAAGGCTCTGGGCAAGTGCTTTTAGCTCCATGTCTTGGCCCCTGACAGGGTCTTCTCTATGTAACGCTGTGATGAGCTTGCGGGGAGCAGCCAGGATGTGTCAGATTAGGCACCAGGCTTCTATCTGGAAAATGCCAAGAAATCCTCGGGTGAGGCCCGGCGCAATAACCTAGGAGCTAAATCTTCACCTTGCATCCGTCAGTGTCCCATCTGGGTGCCGGTTCTAATCCCAGCAGCTCCACTTCCTATCCAACTCCCTGCTTGTGGCCTGGGAAAGCAGTCGAGGACGGCCCATAAACCTTGGGATCTTGCACCCACCCACATGGGAGACCCAGAAGAAGCTCCTAGCTCCTGCCTTTGGATTGGCTCAACTTCGGCTGTTACAGCCACTTGGGGAGTGAACCAACAGATAGAAGATCTTTCTCTCTGCAAATCTTCCTTTGCAATACAAATAGATAAATCTTCAAAAGAAAAGAAACCCTTGGATGACAATATTGTACCCAGCCCACTGATGTTGGCATCTGTGTTCAAAGTAGGGCAATGGAACACTCAGAACAAATTTCTAGGCAAGCAGGTGCAAGATTCTACAGTGTGATCAAGAGGTTGTACCGCAGACAACCTGTTCAAAAATGCATGTGTGGCCACAAAACCCTTCTGAGGTCCCTGTGCCCTGGCTTTTGTGTAGGTGTGAGTTGGTGGGGATGAATCCATTTGGCCACAGGCAGTAATTGAGGATCAATGCCTGTTCCTTCGAGAGGGGATGAGCAGAACAAGAACTCCCAACCTGCAGCAGAGGGGAAGGGAGAGACAAAGGCCCCGGAAGAGGAGAGGCCTGTGTGTGTGCGTGTGTGCGCGCGTGTGTGTGTGTGTGCGCGTGCCCACGGGAAGACGCAGGTGGGGAATGGGGGTGGGGCGGAAGTCAGAGCCAGACGGAGGAAGCCCGGGGAAGGTGTGTGCAAGAAGCAGGCGAGTTGGGAAGATGCCAAAGAAAGGTGCTGCCCAGATAAGAGCCCAGTACAAACAAGCAAGCAATTAAAGGCAATAAAGTGAGGAGCCAGGAGGAGTGGGGTCAAGACTGGGATGAGAAAGGGCAAGAGCTGCCGCCTCCTCTGCCTCCAGCTTACAGCTGGGTGCCTGTCTGGTGGTCACTTCAGCATCTGGCCCATCCCACGGGGCAGCTCAGAGCAGAGCTGGCCGACGGCTTCCATGAATTTGACCTCCATGAATCCCACCTGGAGGTGAGACAGTAACTTCTGCCTGCTCACAGGTGCCCAGCCACACAACAGCACAGCGGGGGCTGTGCAGAGGCAGCAACAGGGTCCCTGGCCCATCAGCCAGAGCCAGGCAGAACCAGGCACCGATCCTCAAGGATCCGAAGCACGCTAGGGTTTAAACGCCGCTGACGCTGCCATGTGCCTGCTCATGGACTTGAACATACTTCTTTTGGCCAAGACACTGGTGACAACAACTCTGGAATGTCAGCACTGGCCCTACCTAAGCCTCGGACCCATAAGAAAAAATGTCAGGTGTAATGGCTCCAACTTCCAGTGCTCTAATGAATTCTCTCTCAAACTTCAGTGAGAGTGAGCTGACCAAGGCCTCCTGGGAAACAGGGTATTTGGATCATGTGGGAAGCTCCCTGATGGAACTCAGGGCAAGAGGTGGGGGTCCAGCCCCGGCCCAAGCAGTGGGCAGGGGAGAAAGGGGCAGGTCTGGCTTACCCTCCGGCCCGCCTCGTTGTTCTGCAAGTTCATGAGCACTCGGCCCTGCTCCTCCGATCCTTTGGCGAAGTTTTTCTCCCGCTCTCGGGCATCCACAAACTCCTTGGCAAAGCGGTAGCCGTACTCCACGTTGTCCCCGCAGCCACCCCACAGCCAGTCCCGGGGCAGGTCCTTGGGCCGCGCGGTCCGGCTGCAGCCGCAGGTGGACAGCTCTCCTTCGCGGCAGGCCCTGCTGATGGCATTGACCACTCCCGCGGCGCTCACCGCGTAGGTGAAGGCAGTCTCGCGGCTACCTGCAGGAGGATGCCGGGCAGTGGGTGAAGGGCCCTCCTTCCTCTTGGCGGTCCCCACCCTGCCTCTGCTGGGACACGGCCAGGGAACACTCCCTGGGGCAGCATATTGTTCAGCCTCCACGTGCTAACACCGGCATCCCATATGGGAGCTGGTTCGAGCCCCGGCTGCTTCAGTTCCCATCCAGCTCTCTGCTGATGGCCCGAGACGGCAGCAGAAAATGGCTCAAGTGTTGGGGGTCCCTGCACCCATGTGGGAGATGCTGAAGAAACCCCTGGCTCGTGGCTTCAGCCTGGCTCAATCCTGGCTTTTGTGGCCATCTGGGGGATGAACCTACACACGCAAAGTTTTCTCTCTGTATTTCTTCCTCTCTCTGTAACGTTGCCTTTGAAAAATAGGGCGTTGAAAAACCAAAACAGAACTCCTTCACAAGGGGCTGAATTTTTGCCTCTTGGCTCTGGCTCTGTGCTAATGAAACCACTCCAATTAGAACGCTTCCTGCGGTAGCTGGGCTAGCCCCTTATCCACAGCAGCCAAGTTCCCAGGACCCGAGGAGGAGTCGGTGGAGAGCTGGCCTTCAGGCATTGATGGACCAGTGTGGGCTGGCTACCACGTCTGGGTCCTACCTTCCTGGACTGCCTGCGCTCAAGTTCTGGCTCCAGCACCCCCTGGGAGACCAGGACAGGTGGAGAAAGTATCCTAGACTTTGAACCCCAAAGCAACCCAATCCTCCCAGCCTTCCAGCTCACCAGGCCACCACATCCCACAGCAGGGGCCCTCTCCATATGCAGATCATTGGCCAGGAGAAAAACATCAACTTTGTTCTTTCTTATCTCTCTCTCTCTCTCTCTCAATCTCTCTTTTTTTTTTTCTTTTGATTGTTGCAGGGAGCCACTTAAGAACTCAAACGGTGTGGTATCTTCCACTGCGATAAAAATGTTGATTAAAAAATAAATAAATAAAACGACTCAGCTCCCAGAGACATGTAAACGCATGCCACAAGAAGATACCGCTTCACAGCCACTCGAATGGCTTTAATCAAGAGAGTTAACAGCAAGTGTGCAAGGTGAGGGAACAATTGCACGCCGAGCCTTCTGTACGGCCAGGGGCAGTGCTACGGGGTACAGCTGCTCAAAAAAAAAAAAAAATCTGATAACTTCTCAAAAGGTTTCACTTAAAGCTGCCATGTGGAATACTTCCAGCAGCCAAAAAAGCAGAAAGAGCCATGTGCCCATCAACAGAAGCACGGGACAGCAAAGTGTCCTGTTCTCTGCGCAGTGGGACTCCGCTCAGCCGTAAAAAGAATACAGCATTAATTAAAGAAGCAGACCTGGGACTGGGGCTGTGGTGCGGCGCACTAAGCTGCCGGTTGCCAAGCCAGCGTCCCATATCCGAGGGCCTGTTCCAGTGTTGGCATCTCCGCTTCTGATCCCCTCCCTGTGCCTGGGAAAGTAGCGGAATGCTCGGCCCAGCTACCCATGGGGAAGACCCAGAGAGACTTACAGGCTGCTGGCTTCAGGAGTGAACCAACGGCTTAAAGGCATCTCCCTCCTTCTCTCTCTCCCTCCCTCTCTCTCCCTTTAAGACAAATGTATAAATCTTCAAGAATGAGCAAAAATAATGTATGAAAGACTGGTCACCAAAGGTCACCATCTCATTTATCTGAAATGTTCAGGGAACGGCACCATGGCTCAACAAGCTAATCTTTCACCTTCAAGTGCCTCCATCACACATGCGCACTGGTTGGAGTACCAGGCTGCTCCATTTCCCATCCAGCTCCCTGCTTGTGGCCTGGGGAAGCAGCAGAGGACGGCCCAAAGCATTGGGACCCTGCACCACGTGGGAGACCCAGAAGAAGCTCCTGGCTCCTGAGGTTTTAGATTGGCTCAGCTCCAGCCATTGCAGCCATCTGGGGAGTGAGCCAGCAAATGGAAAATCTTTCTCTCTACTTCTCCTTTTCCCTGTGGATCGTACTTTCAAATAAAAATAAAACAAATCTTAAAAAAAAAAAAAAAGAGAGAAGTCATATGGCGTGTGAATTGCACCTCCATCAGGTTGCTACAAGTAATACAGGGCCCAGCATGATAGCGTAGTGGTTAAAGTCCTTGTCTTACACACTCTGGGATCTCATACGGTCGCCAGTTCCAATCCTGGCGGCCCTGCTTCCCATCCAGCTCCCTGCTTGTGACCTTGGAAAGCAGTCGAGGATGGCCCAATGCCTTGGGACCCTGCACAAGCGTGGGAGAACTGGAGCTCCTGGCTCCTGGCTTCAGATTGGCGCAGCTCCTGGCTGTTGTGGTCACTTGGGGAGTAAACCATCGGACGGAAAACCTTCCTCTGTCTCTCCTCCTCTCTGTATATCTGACTTTCCAATAAAAATAAATAAATCTTAAAAAAAAAAAAAAAGAAGAAGTAATACAGTTGGGACTGGCGCTGTGACATAGCATGTTAAGCCACAGCCTGCAGTGCCAACATCCCATTTGGAAGCTGGTTTGAGACCACTACTGGAGGCTGTTCCATTTCCAGCTTTCTGATCATACACAAGTGCTTGGGCTCCTGCACCCACAAGGGAGAACTGCCAGGAGCTCCTGGCTCCTGGCCATCGTGGCCTTTTAGGGAGTGAGCTAGTAGATGAAGATCTCTCTCTTTCTGTAATTCTGCCTTTCAAATGAATAAAATAAAATTTCTGGACAATTCTCAGGAGGACAGAGTTGATCCTGATTTCTGAAACGAGGCCAGGCCTCCTCTTCTGCTCAGCAATTCTCTCTCCCCTGAGGAGCTGCCAAGGTAGCTCGTGCCTTCAGGGGGAGCTGGCCGTGTGGCACAGTGGGTTAAGGGGCCGCTTGGGACACTTACATCCCACAGTGCAGTGTTTGGTTCGAGTCCTGACTACTCATTTCCAATCCAATCTCCTACTCAAGCTTCCTGATGATGGCTCAAGTTTGAATCCGTGCGACAAACGTGGGGACCCGGATGTGCTCCTGTCTCCCGGCTTGTTGCCAGCATTTGGGGAGTGAGCCAGGAGATGGGTTCTCTCTCTCTCTTTCTCTTGCTATGCATTTCAAGTAGATGAAAATAATAATTAAAAAAAAAAAAAAGGAATGGAGGGAGCAGGAGTGTTGTACAGCAGTTAGGTCATCCCATACTGGAATGCCTGGGTCTGAGCCTTGTCTCCACTCTCTCCATTCCAGCTTCCTGTTCATGGGCACCCCAGGAGGCAGCAAGCTACACGACCTGGGTCCCTGCCACTCATGTCGGGAACCCAGATGGAGTTCTTAATCCTTGGCCTTGGCATCTGGGGAATGGACTAGCAGATGGGAGCTCTGTCTGCCTTTCAAACAAAGAAATTTTTTGAAAACCTCAAGAATAATAAACATAACAATAAAGAACAGGAACAACTTGAGAAATCAGAAGGGACGGGCTCTGCTTTCCACCGCGTGCGTCTGCCAACCCCTTGCCTTCCTAAACCTCACTTTGGGGCCTTGGTTGGCATAGATGAATCAACACACAGAAGAGGGTAGGAACCCCATCAGGTCCGTGTGTGTGTGTGTGTGTGTGTGTGAGAGAGAGAGAGAGAGAGAGAGAGAGACTGAGAGATGCCCACGAGGGAGCCTGCTTCCCTCACCCACCAGGAGGAAGGCACAGACCCCAGGCCTGTGAAGAAATCCCACCTGGCCACATGTCCACTCTTAGGAAGCAGTTGGGGGTCAGGGAGAGGGCAGACAGAGGGATGGGGGAATCTCCAATCCCCAATTGCCTGGCCCCATCCCCCTGGGCCTCCTCCCCCTCCCCCCAGGTAACTCCAAAAGGGTCCCTTTCCTGGAGGCACAGCAGCACCAGGCCAGGCAGCCAGGCCAAAGGCAGAACTCCACACCTTCCTTTTATGACCCAGTTAGAATAGGGCCGGATTTCTCAATTTTGTGCCAGGGAGGGAGGATTGCATTTCAAAAGGACCTAAGACAATTAGACCTCAGCTCACACCTCCAATCACCCCGCAATAGGGTGGCCAAGGAATCCTAGCCCCGTGGTGGGAGAGGGGCAGGGACAGGAATCCAGAAGCCCCGGCCCCTTCCCCCACTTAAACACACACACACACACACACACACACACACACACACACACACAGCCAACTAAAGCTATTACCAATCTGGCCCTGGGAAGTTTCTCTCAAGGATCCAACTGGAAGAGACAAAAATCCGAAAGACATTCAAGCCAGCAATTTTTGGTTCTCCACCCTGGGCTCTAAAAATCCCTCAAAGGAGGCCCTTGTTGCAAAGCCAACAAAGGCAGCAGTGGTGGGGGGCGGGGAAGGGCGGGTCTTCGAACCCACCCTAATTCAACTCAGATGTCCTGCCACCCCTCCCGGAGTGAGTCACTGCCAGCCTACCCCGGGACAAAGTTGGTACACAGGCCCCAGGCGCCAGCACAGCGGCTGCAGGCTGCTTCCGAGGGAGCCGGGCGCGAAGGCTGCGTGGAGCTCTCGCTGGGGTTCAGCCCAGGCAGGGGCTCAGCCCAGACAGGAGCACAGCCCTGCAGACCCACCGCCCGCCCACACCTCCTCCGTCCGTCCCTCCCTCCATCCATCCATCCATCCATCCATCCATCCATCCATCCATCCATGTGGTCTGCCCTCCGTGCGGAGTCTCTCACCGATCTGCATGACTCTCCCGAAGACGGAGGAGTTGTCCACCGTGCTGCAGTTCCACCGCCGCTGCCGGAACTGGTACTGGCACTCCTTGATGCCCATCTTGGCTCCCTCCCCGATGTAGGCCATGTGTTCCTGGTAGAGTTGGCACAACTTTCTCTGGCCAGGGGAGAGCCCAGGCAGCTGACTGCACACGGGCTGAGCGCCAATGATGAGCATCTCAGGCCTGTGCATCGGGCTCCTGGCTAAGGACCTGTATAGAACGGCAAGGGGCGAGAAGGCACTGGGTCACTTGTTCCCAACAGTTAGTTCTGGCCTTAGCAACCCCTAGTAAAACGAAGGGTCGACCATAGAGGGATAGTGGGAGAGCAACAGGTAGGAGCACACGTGGAAAGCCACACGTCCACCCCCGCTTCTGGAGCCATCATGAGACCTCTAGGACTTGAGCTGTTCAGGGGCGGGTAGGCAGCGCAGTCCACGTGGGCTGAGGTCAGGGAAGGCTGAGACCATCACTTCCTGAGAGCGCCACCCTGCCCTGCCTGTCTCGGAGGAAGAGTTCTGTATTCAGTTTAGCCCAAGTGCAGGGAACACGGGAAAAAAAGCAAGCAACTCCTTTTAAAGGAACTCCGCGGGTGGGGCGGGAGCAGATTTTGTGACATGGTACCTTAAGTCATGGCTGCCTTGCAACACTGCTACCCCACATCAGAACACTGGTTCAAGACCCAGCTACTGTGTCTTCAATCCAGCTCCCTGCGAACGTGCTTGGGAAGGCAACAAAAGGACAGCCCAAGAGCTTGACACGCACGTGGAAAACGAGGACGGAGCTCCTGGCTCCTGGCTCCGGCATGGTCCAGCCCTGCCTGTTCTGACCATTTAGAACACGAGCCAGAAGGTGGAAGATTTATTTCTCACTGTTTCTTTCACTTTCTCTCCTGTTCCTCCTTGGAAATAAAGAAAATAAATTTAAAAAAAAAGTGTGTGTGTGTGTGTCAGGGGGAAATGGCACAATATCCTAGTGGCTAAAGTCCTTGGCTTGCACACACTGGGATCCCGTATAGACACTGGTTCACATCCCAGCTGTTCCACTTCCCTTCCAGCTCCCTGCTTGTGACCTGGGAAAGCAGTTAAGGACGGTTCAAGGCCTTGGCACCCTGCACCGGTGTCGGAGACCCTGAAGAAGCTCTTAGATCCTGACTTTGGATCAGCTCAGCTCCTGGCTGTTGTGGTCACCTGGGGAGTGAACCAGCGGACAGATTATCTTTCTCTCTGTCTCTCCTTCTCTCTGTAAATCTGATTTTCCAATATAAATAAATAAATATTACAAAAAAAAAAAAATCCCTGTGTACCTTCAGAGCTCTGGAGCTTCTAGACATTGCATGTCCGTGCACTGGGATGCCTGGGTTCCATTCTTGCCTCCTGTGTCTGATTCCAGCTTCCTGCCAAGGAGGCAGCAGCGGGATAGCTCGTGGGATTTGGTCTCTGCCACCCACATGGGAGAACCAGATTACGCTCCGGTCTGGGCCAGCCCTGGCCGTGGTAAGGGCATTGGTGGGACGAACCAGCAGATGGGAGCGTGTGCCCCCATCTCTCTGCTTCTCAAGTTAACCAACTGTTCCCTTGCATATGCATGTCCCCTAACTGGCTCCTCGTGGGTGCATGAATTGTGGGGTGTAGCTTTCTCTCACATGGGAGCAAGTGCAAAGTTCAGTAAGACAGCCGGAGATTTACCTACTGAGTAAAAATGGGAGTAAGGCCCACCAGGACACAGAGGAGGTGACCACTGCTTGCCTGTCCTGTTCACATGGACTTGGCAATGACTGAGACCTTCAAGCCACCCCACAATCCACAGACACATGGGAAGAAAGGTCCAAACGGAAACCAATCCTTAGAGGACCCCTGCCTGGGTGTGGGGGCTGGGGGGCTGGAGACAGAAGTAAGAGGTGCCCTCCTCTCCCCAGGGCCATTCCTGAAGAGGGACTCAGGCCACCTGTCACTTACCACCAGGAGTTGGCATCCGCCAGGAGCTGGGCCCAGCTGGAGAGCAGAGCAGCAGTGAACAGCAGCCGCAGGTTGGGCATGGTGGGCCTCAGCCCTCCCAAGGGCCCCGGGACTGACAGCTTCCAAAACACGATGCCCTGGAGCAAGGAGAAATGATGAGAGTCAGCGTGGAGGAGAGTGGGGAGGGATGAGGGGGGAGCACAAAGGCGGGGTGGGGGGCGGCCGGGAACCTGCAGTCAAGTCCCAGCTCCCCTCCAAGGCCGCCTTTCCAACACGCCGGTCCATGGTGCCTGGTGCCGCTTCCCCGCCTCCCATCCAGGTGCTGAGACACAGGAGAGACGAATGGAAACAAAGTGTTTCATGACCAGCATGGAGGGGGATGCCCTTGCCTCACATCCAAGGGCGTGGGTTCGAGTCCCCACTCCTCCTGTGGTCTAGCTGTCTGTGAACACACAACCCACTTGGGTCCCTGCCACCCGCGTGGAAGACCTGGACTGAGTTCCAGGCTCCAGGCTTCTGCTTCACCCGGTGCCAGTGGGTGTGGGCACTGGGGAGAGTATAGCAAAGTAAAAAATCTGTCTTCTGGCCTTTCAAATAAAAGCGAAAATAAAAGTCATTTTTTAGAAACCGGCGAATAGGATCAACACACATCCAAAGGGGAGTCTTCCCTCCCAGTTGGCACCTTTTTCACAAGAAACAAGTTGTCCAAACCCCATGTGTTTCTCCCCCGACTTCATCCTGCCAAGAGTGCTGGCGGAAACAGAACTGTCACCTGCTTAGGGCAGGGGAAGCTATGGTGGTGCGGCGGTTCAAGCTGCCTGTATCTGAGCCAGGCAGCAAACCCTGTCCTGGGCGGCAGCAAGGATCATAACCCGAGTCCTTGGGCCCCTACCACCTGCCAGAGACCCTTAACCAGAAGTGAACAGAAGGGTTCTCTCTTCCTCTGCCTTTCAAGTAGATCAAAATAAGAGAATATTTGAAAACATGTTTGATGTTAAAAAACAACAACAACAACAAAAAACCCCGCAGAGTCAGTGACCTGCGCTGACAAACTGCTGGTGGTTGAGGTGATGCCAAGGCAAGGTGGTCCCCCATCTGCAAGCTCTCACCCCGGCTGTGTGGGGACACAGGCGGCGGAAGCCTCACCTGGCCCCATCCACACGCTGCCAGAGCCCCTATCACCTGTGCTTCATCTCCATCCCAAAGATTCCCGCCCCCTACCCCCAAACCCTTCCAATCCTGGCTTCTGCATCCCACAGCCACTGGACCAAGCTCATCCTCATCCACGTGCCCCCACCCCATGTCTCTTGGCTTATCCCGGGGCGTGACCCCACGTCTCCAGTGAGTCTTCTGTCCGTCATTCCTTAACACCTCCACCGCCTGCCACCCTCCTTGCAGTGCCGCCCGCCCCATCTCACCGCGCCAGTGCCCTGCGTCTGGCAATCCAGGCTCTCCGGGAGGGGGCGGCAGGTGCCGGGGGGCGGGGGGGGCCCTCGGTCCAGGAAATCTTTTTTGCCCTGGGGCCACCAAGAGAGGAAGGTGGCCGGGAGAGGAATCCAAGAGAGCTGGGAGCCGGCCTGTTCCCCACCCCCTTTTGGTTTTTCTTGGTGAGGTCTCAGTCTGGGCGGGGGCGCCAACAGGCAGGTGTGTGGGACCAGCAGGGGACAGATCAAAGCAAAAACTCACCCCTTCCTCCTTTGTCATGCAGAGCTTGCCCAAGGAAATGATCCGGCCCTCCAGAGCCGGGCTCACAGCTCCCCGCAGCCCACTTGCCCAGCAGACGCCTCCTCCTCCAAAGGATGGCTCCCACCCCCGCCTCCATAAATCCTCCCCACCCCCTCCCCGGGGCAGGAGGTCTGTGAAGGCACCGACTGGATCCGAGAGAGGAGAGATGGAGCAGAGATAGGGCTGGCACCAGAAGCTAATGGCTTTATGGAGGGGAGGGGACCAGGGGACGAGAGAAAAGCTTCAAAGCCTGTCCCTTGTCTAAACTGCGCTCCACCTACCAGTTCTGGGGGTCCCAAGAGCCCACCGTTTCTGCTTCTCCCACCTTTTCCTCTTTCTCCCTGCACCCTCCTGCCCGTGCCCACCGCCAGTTCTGCAGCCAGGGTGGTTCTCCCAGCTTGGTAACATTTCTCATCTGCCACCATGCTTTTCCTCTGGCACCGACACCTCCCGCCCAGGCCACAACCTTTTATTTTGCAAGATTTATTTGTTTATTTATAGATTGATTTTATTATGATTATTATTATTGGAAAGATAGATTTACAGCGAGAGAAGAAGAGACAGAAAAATCTTCCAACTGCTGGTTCACTCCTCAAATGGTCCCAACGGCAGGAGCTGAACAAATCTGAAGCCAGGAACCAGGAGCTTTTTCCAGTCATATGGGATGCCAGCACTTGCAGGTGCAGGATTAGCCAGTTGACTCATTGTGTGCCCCACACCCATCCAGGTCACACCCTTTCATCAGAACCAGTGTATCCACCCAGGTCACACAGGGGCTCAGGAAAGGAGTCAGTGCCTGTGGCTTTGACTGACCCCCCATCTCCACCCTGGGACAGACCAGACTTCCCAGAAGTCCTGAGCCCCACCCTTGTCAACACAGACACATGGGTCACTCCAGGCAGCAGCCCCCCATCCCCTGGGCAGCGCCACCTAACTCTACACCCATTAAAACATGTATATTTGGGGCCCGGCGCGGTGGCGCAAGTGGTTAAGTCCTCGCCTTGCACTCCCGGGATCCCATATGGGCGCCGGTTCTAATCCCGGCAGCCCCGCTTCCCTTCCAGCTCCCTGCCTGTGGCCTGGGAAAGCAGTCGAGGACGGCCCAAGGGCTTTGGGACCCCGCACCCGCGTGGGAGACCCAGAAGAGGCTCCTGGCTTCGGACCGGCATAGTATCGGCCGTTGCGCTCACTTGGGGAGTGAATCATCGGACGGAAGATCTTCCTCTCTGTATCTCCTCTCTGTATATCCGCCTTTCCAATAAAAAAATAATAAAAATAAATCTTAAAAAAAAAACATGTATATTGGGGGGGGGGAAGTCCTAGTATGAGTTTTTCATGAGTTTTGGCTTCTGTATCTGCATTCCAGATGTGTGGCCCATGAACTTGAACACATCACACACACACATGAGCTGTCTCCCTTCCCGCTCACCCTCCAAAGGGGTCCCAGAGCAGAGCCTGCCAGCCACCTGCTCGCTCCTGCATTCCTGGACAGGATGGGAGGGGGAAGGGGACCCTGCAGCAGACAGCATGGAAACGTCCCACGGTCAGGGTAGTGGGCAGGAAAGGACAAACTGGTGGTTTGGTCTCCACTGTGCCCGACCCACTAAAGGCTGTGTCTGTGAAACTGACAGCAGGACTTCGCTCAGGCAGGACTCTCCCTGGAAGACACATCTATGGTCAACAGCCCAGGTTCGGGGTGGCAGTCGCTCAGACTGCCCCCGGGGCGGGGTGCAAGGCTGTGGTCATAGTGGGGTTCAGGAGATCAGGGAGGGGACCCTTCCGGAGAATGAGCTGCCCCCCCGCAACTGCCAGACTCTACTTCTCCATTCACTGACTTGTTCTTTCATGTCCCAACCATGCCCGGGGTGCCTCCTGCGTGTGCCATTGACCGTGGGCACATCTGAAACAGTGAGTAAAGTCACCCAGAGCTAAGCCCAGTAAATATCAAGAGATAAATCAAATGGGGACAGGAACCAAGAAGGACAAGTGGGGAAGGTGGTGGTTCTTGGGCAGGCTTTCTCTGGGAACTCTGCAGCCTCCTGTAGATGGGATGGGACCCCAGGCTCTGACCCTGCACATCCAAGTCCAAGGTTCCGCGTGTTGCCAGCACAGCCCAAGGGATGCCTGCTGGAGAACGGGAATTCTAGGTTCCCTTCTCTGCTAGAGCTTGCCACCAGCCAGCCTTCTCTCAGAGGCCACATTCATCCAACCCAGACATCAGACTCTGGTGAAGGCTGCAGCAAAGCAGTCTTATGAAGAGATGGAAGGTTTGGGGAGAAAATGGCAAGACGTGTAGCTCAAATCTTTTAAAAAAAAATGGCTGAGAGAGAGAGAGAGAGAGACCATACAACCCAGGTCTATGACAGGAGTGGCAGAGGCTCGGCCACTTGAGTCATCACCTACTGCCTCCCAGGGTACACAGTATTTTCAGGAAACTGGAATTGGAAACAGAACTGGGACTGGCACCCAGGTACTGCGGTAACGAGAAGTGGCATCTGGGACATCCCGCCCTGCTCAATAACCCTCTGCCCTTGGGCCCGGCAGCGTGGCCTACAGGCTAAAGTCCTCGCCTTGTATGCGCCAGGATCCCATATGGGCGCCGGTTCTAATCCCAGCAGCTCCACTTCCCATCCAGCTCCCTGCTTGTGGCCTGGGAAAGCAGACAAGAACAGCCCAAAGCCTTGGGACCCTGCACCCATGTGGGAGACCTGGAAGAAGTTCCTGGATCCTGGTTTCGTATCGGCACAGCACCGGCCGTTGCGCTCACTTGGGGAGTAAATCATCGGAAGGAAGATCTTCCTCTCTGTCTCTCCTCCTCTCTGTATATCTGACTTTCCAATAAATAAATAAATCTTTAAAAAAAAATAACCCTCTGCCCAGTGCCTGCTCCGTTAGCTGAGTCTTCACAGGGACCACGTCCTTGGAGAGACGATCGCGCTGTATTTACTGTAACTTGCTTATTTTTAGCACTTGTACTCATCCCCTGCTTAAGCTTTGGAAATTATCTGGTTCGGTGTTTTCTCTCCAGGAGTTCCGTCTGGGTCAGGTATCCCGCAGGTGCTAGAGAAACATTTGTTGACTCAAAGAAGAGAAAAGCCCTCTTCCGGGCTCTTAAGGAGCTAGGATAGAAGGCGCCAGGGCTGGCTTCTGCAGACAGAGTCCCCCGGGCTTCCACACGGCCCAGTCCACTCAGCAGCAAGAAGGCAGCTTCCACCAGCACGCCCCCCGGCGGTGCACCTGCTCACTCGCCAGTCTTCCTGCTCAGTGGGACCCTGAACCCACGGTCCTTGTCTCCATTCTTTCCTTGGGTGCTGAGTCACCGTCTGCTTCTAGGAAACAAAGACTTCATCGCTAAGTTAGGACAAAGTGTGATGTTGGCCACGCTGCCTTCTGAGGCATTTGGGGACCCCTCCGAACCAAACGAAACCTATCCTGAAAAGA